TAGACGTAGCCCATGGGAACAGAGGCGGTCGCATGGTTCCAGCCTCCCCAGCCATGAGCATGGAGAGTGCAGGCGCTGGGGACAGCCACACTCTACCCTTAGAATGCCTATAGTAGTCACTGTGGGGCTGGAGCCAGGCTAGTACAGAGCCTTCTCCCGCCTAAGCCACTGGATGCCCATGCCCTTGTAGCTCCTGTTGTCCGTAGTCCCTGGCCAATGGGAGCTGCAGAATCAGTGTTTGGGGTGGGGACAACACATGTAGACACTCGTACAACCTCTTGGGACAGCGGAGATGTGTCAGCCACTTCTGGGAGTAGCATGGAGCCAGGGCAGACAGGGAGCCTGCCTTAGTCCTGTCGTGCCACCGGACTTTTACCAGCCTAAAGTCTCCGGATTTAGCCTCTGGGAGAAAGAGTCTGATTCTGGAAGACTCCCAGCAAAACTGAGAGGATTGGAAACCGTGCATAAAATGCCCTTAAGAGTTCACCATTGCTAAATTATTCATCGAGGTCCATTTTAGAGCAAGATGAGGCCCTTATCGCTGAACATGCTGCATCTCCTCTGCACTCATCCTTTGACAGCCAGGATAGTGAGAAGATAACAGGGAATTTAAAAAAAATACAAAAATGTTTAAAAGATTTTTTACATAGAATTAAATACAAGTTTATTTTCAATAAACAACTCAATTTAAAATTAAATTTGAAATTGATAGCCTATATTAAGGTGAAAGCTTACTATACTCTAATAAAAGTATTTCAATTAAGTGAATAATATTAAATAGTGCATGCTTGCTGCCAAAGTTTCAAAGAAAGTTAAACCACTGAAGTGATGGAAGTCACAGGCTAAGCACCTGGAACCAGAGTTTGCTGATCTGCCAAATCTTTTGACAGCCTCATTTCAATTTATTCACTTGTACAGTTCATTAACTAATTCTTTCAGCATTAAGGAACAAGTTGGGACTCAAAATAGCAGGAAAGCATGATTTTTCTTCCAAACTATGACTAAAAATGAGGTGTGAAAAGAGATCTATTCATTCTAAAATCTTGAAGGACATGGGGACCATAAACAGTCAGTTCATGTCACCAAATTAGTTTTAAATGCAAAATAGATTTTTCCTTAAGTATCCAGAATACTTAAGGCAGTTCTATTTAACTAACCAAAAAAAATAATTCCAATGTCCATCCAAAAAAAAGATTAACAAATAATGAGTAAACAATCATCTATTAGATAAAAAAAAAAATATCATTCAGCATTTTCTAACACAATAAATCTAATATATAAAAGAGAATGTTTGTATGTTTTTAGTGTGATGTGTATTATCTGGGAGGTCTAGCTTTGTGTGTGTACCTGGAATTTTATTTAAGTAAATGTTGCAAGGAGATAGATGCACTATATTGAGACGTTGGGTCAAGCAGCAAGAAGAAAAGAAGATGGAGACTAGCAGGAAAAGCTACGAGTAATGTTCAGTATACTTTTATATAAAATATTCTCTCACACACAAAATATTCAGAATCATTCTGGTGCATGGAAATTAATGTTCCATAAAAATCTATTTCAGTACTTGAGCTCTCAACATAGAACCCAATAATTTGCAAACTGCATCTTGGGACACTATAAACTGACTCTTTTTCTTTGCAAACAGGTTTTATGACCATAGATGAAAGAAAAAACTTTGATCGTCTTAAATCTCCCCATCTTAAATACTGGATTCCATTTGTCTGGTTTGGAAATCTAGCAACTAAGGCACGAAAAGAGGGTAGAATTAGAGACAGTGTAGACCTGCAGACACTGATGAATGTAAGTAGGAAAAATTAATCTACAGAAACAGATACTGAAAACACTATGCATTGTCTGTTCATTATTATAACTTTTATCTATCACATGCAACTTTCCAATCGATTTCTCCCCGCCTCAGTGCACGTTTGTATGTGCACATATATATGCACATAGCCAACTACTACACCTGATGTTTAATGTGACAATATTTATATAAATGAGGGAGAACAGACAAACATCAAGTTGGTGAGCAAAAATCTGCTCTCACTTTCAATGCTATAAACTGAAAGTAGCTCCACTGTACTTAAAAGCAATGAAAGATGGAAAATGTGTTCATGTGTAGGGACTTATTTTAAGGAAAACAATCTGCCAAATATATCATGAGACAATCCTTCTTTGGTTATATAAAACATATCTTCTTGCCAGTGTCCCTTGATAGCATCCAGTTTTGAAACAATGGAACAAGAAATAATTTATTAAGAAACTAAGCATTGAACCAAGCATCCTAAATCCATTGTACAACTGAATTTTTAAATGTGTTGACAATCTTCAGCATATATTTATCACAGCAGTTTCTAATTTATTAACTTTGGTGCGGACAGAGTATATTGTTTTATAGCCTTTCATTTATGTGAAATGAATAGTGACAAATCCATTATTATTTTGGAGCAACTATCACTCTTTTTGTTTCCTATTTAGGAAATGAATAGGTATCGGTCTTGGTGTAGCCTTCTGTTTGGTTATGACTGGGTTGGAATTCCACTGGTCTACACCCAGGTACTGAGATATTACCTTTTCCAAATGTTGGACCAAGATTTTCAAAAATAGAAGCCTATAGTTACCTTCCTATGTCTATATTTACACACCCACATACTTGATCTGACCACACAGCAACTTCCATTGTGGACTTGGTCTCTAGGATGATTGTCTGCCCCAGGCATTTTAAGTTATATTTGATGTGAAGGACCTGGGAGATTTGGTATGTTGGATTGGAGAGGGTTATAAATTATTGTTTTGTGTTTCTGCTATCCTCATTTGCTCACTACCAATAGATATTGTTGTCATTTTATTTGCAATATCTATCTATAGTATTTAAAATAATACTGTGTTAAGCATCCAGAGGCCCTTGTGAATGTGGGGCCCTATACATAAATGATTATATTATTTAATGATGCTTTTGTTTGTTGCAGGTTGTCACGCTTGCGGTTTACACCTTCTTCTTTGCATGTCTGATAGGACGTCAGTTTTTGGATCCTGACCAAGGCTATACAGGACATGACTTGGATCTTTACATTCCAATCTTCACACTGTTACAATTCTTCTTCTACGCAGGATGGCTCAAGGTAAACTATATTTGACAGCTACACCAACAAATAATTTGATTTTGATTTGGTGCTATCTTTGGGAAAAGATAGTAAGTGAAATCCTCCAAAGTAAACTGAAGTCAAAGCACCAGATTAATAGTTGCTGTAAATTCATTGAAGCTTAATGGAGTTATATCATAGTGGGTGTGGGTTACAACAGCATGAATTTAGCATAAAATGTCCAGCGATTTATCTTTAGAGAGAACTTAAAAAATCATCCATTACATTTTCTATCCACCCAAGGCTGACCTCGTTCCCACACTTATTGTAAGAAAAGGTTAGGCTTCTGAAAGTTCCTCCTGCATGGAGGTAAGCAGTGAAAACTCCCAGTGACACATGCCCTGCATCCACAGAGAGACAGGTATGGCAACATTCACTTTCAGGCACTTGGAAAATCACAGGGTCAACAATGTGATCCACGAAGTCTGAGTGAGATGCCTCCAGGCCCTATACAATGAATGGAAAAAGACAGGCATCTAAGAATGCTAACCACAAAACTATCATGTTAGGTGAATCCCTACATTAACTAGCCAATGGGAGATGCTGGTTAGAGGGGTGTGTCCTGAGCCATGTCCCTCTAAGGCAGGGGTTCCCAAACTTTTTGACAGGGGAACCAGTAAATCCATTCACGAACTTTTGGAGGACCAGTAATGTTCATTTGCATATTTGCATATTCATTAATCAAATGATGAATATTCAAATAAGTTGTTTCTGGTCCTCGCAAAACCCCCAGTGCCAGCTTTAGCAAAGCTTTTGATATGGTCGCCCACAATATTCTTGCCAGCAAGTTAAGGAATATGGATTGGATAAATGGACTGTAAGACAGACAGAAAGCTGGTTAGACCAGGGTTTCCCAAACTTTTTACTTTAGTTGGAACCCTTTTTTTTCCCCAATACTGCTTTTTGCAGCCCAAAAATAGAAACACATAAAAAACAAACTGAGAAAATACCAGACATATAGCATGTCTGGTATTTTCTCATTAGGTAAGTTGTATCAGTTTGTAGTTTCGAACTGCCTGGCTGGTAAATGTGCTCAGGCTGCATGAATGTGTTTACCAGCCAGACAGTTGGCAACTACTCGAGGGGGAGTGTGTATGGGGGGGACAATAGAATCCCCAGGCTGGACTAACTCATGCGGGAGGTAAGGAGGGAACAGGGGCAGCATCCCAAGATCTACATATGGCCAGGTCAGTCCCACTCCCCGCAGGCGGATTCATTCCTCCCCCCTGCTCTCCCCGCTGTGCCACTGGCCAGCCCCACTTCCCTCAACCCCCTCCCGGGCAGCCAGGTCCACTTCTCCTCCCAATCTCCCTTGGCCAGCCCCACTGCCTGTATCCAGCCCTCGGTCCAGACGCCGCCTC